ATTAGCCTGCCTCACATTGATCATACAATTAGCTTTTCCATAAAGAACCAGTATCAGAAGCATGGCTAGCTAAACCTTGAAATTCCAATTTACTTTTCATTAGCTTAATGAATCAACTACATTCCATTTTTCTACTCACCGAATGTAAGTAAGATTTCCTCTTTTTCTCCTGACTCAGGACTTTCTGGTCACCACTTGAGATCCTCAGATCTCCACAACAACGTTTCCGTTCCAGGTTCTTTGGCAATCTTTCCGAAGCTTAATCAATAGAAATAGTTCATCTCAATCCCCTCTGAAGAAGCGGGATAAGAGTGAAAAACGTGAGCAAAAAATCGAATGGATGGCATATCGCCAATAATGTTAGATTTCCAGAGGTTATGAAAAATAACCTCTATTATATTTCTAGTTCTTGTAAAGATGGTTGTGGAAGAAATCCGTATGGAAGCCAGGTCAGTATGAGCAGTGTGACTTTATTTGATCACACACCTCAAAAAATACAAAGTCAATAAAAAAACAGTAAATTCAGATAATATGTAGCTTGAAATGAAATAAAATAAAGAATAAAATTGCCTTGGTATTAGGAAATAATGTAGTTCCTTTGCATAGCTTAGATAGAAGTTTCTTGGCCTAGTTTAAGAAATGACCATGTGCTATTCTTTTGTTCTTTGGTCCAAGCACGTGCTTTGAGTAAGAGTGTGTGAAAGAATGTCTCTGTGTGTGAGTGAATGAAGTGAAGTGTTGTCTATCTGAGAAGCTTCTGCCTCGTTCTTTGAAAAGCTGCATACTTTATAATGCATGAGAAATTAGGTCCTCCCATTAGGTTTGTTTCAAATTCGTGGGCTTCTAAAACTACTCCAAAATCACTCCAGTTTTGAATAGAAAACATGTGTTCCATTCAAACCACCAAGTCAATTATCATGATTGACATACAGACTATGAAAAAGGTTTCTGAAGTTCTTATATTAACATACAACTGTCAAAATCCATGATTTATGACTACAATTTAAACTCTCAGACTCATTAAAAGAATTCACAATATGGTATACATTACATGAGTATTTTAAAAGAAAACATGACTTTAAACCTCTACTGATTACCCTTAGCTCAAACACAAATAATTCACATCTGACCACTGAAATGCAAAACCTCACATTCACATCCAATTAAGAGGGAATATATTCTGCCAGCATATATTTCAAAAACTACTAAAGACCGAATTAAAGTTTGGATATTAAAAATTAATATTACACTAACCAATAGACCAAATATTTATATTTTATTATAGCCTTCATCATCATAAACCCTCTCTTCCTTAAATGTCAAAATAAACAGTAGGAAGATGGAAGTGTATCACTGAATGTAATGGAGAGACTCACTGAACAAAAGGGTGAATTGGAAAGTGGAAAGGGAAAATTCATGTTCAATTTTTACAGGAAAAGTCAAGATTAGAGTCTAACTTTGGCTGCCTCTACCTCTGGATCTACTGATCATTTTGACATGTGGTTCTCTGGGAAGCTCAGTTTATGTGTTATTTTTATCATATTAGTACCTCTAGAGTTTGTAAGAGGCTTATTCAAACTGAAGTGGAAAAACTGAAATGATAAATGTAAGTATCGGTATAAAGCATTAATTAGTTTATTGTTTAATAAGTATTTTTCTTTTATGAAAGGTGTTTCCAGTCCATAAAGAAAATGTCATGGCCTCATTAAAACAGTCATGAGTTCCCAGCTGTGAGAACTGAATTCCAAAGGTTTTTTTGGATTTAAATATTAGACCTGTGGGGCTCAGTTCTGCAGTTTGGCTCACAGTCGCATCACTAAAGCAATGTAACCTGACAAGAGCTGAATGAACCTAACAATAAATAAAAAAGGATTTAAAGAGATGTCCTCATCATCAATTATTTGGCTTATTCCAGCAATGGTTGAAGGGAAAGCAGGCAAGTTTATATTTCCAATTGATTCTATGGAATCCCAAAATGATGTGGGGACTATAATCATTCCAATGTATCCTTGTTCTTTCCTTGACCCTCATTAAAGATGGACATACCTCTCACATTATTAAGTATGAGTCTTCTTGGGGGATTCCTTCAAAAAAAAACTCTCAAATATGACAATATTGTTTTATTAATTTTGTGAACATGTAATGCCATATTTCACAGTGACTTTTCACAGTAGTACCATCATTGTTTAAATTACATATATTAAGAACTAGAAACAGGGCTTCAGTAATGGAGAATTTCTTGGGTTATTTAGGTTTCGAACTAAGGCAGTTCCCTGATTGAACATGGTAAATAACTTATTAACTGATATGTGAAACTTGGAATTTGCAGATCCTTGTAAACCTCAGAACTGAGGAGTCTTCATGTCGCACAAAACCACAGTGCACTTTGCTCAGTTCCTCTATAGCAAAAACAGTGTTATGTTGTGTTATGCATTTTGGGTGGTGGGAAAAATAGTTTATATTATTTAATAGTGTGTAGGGAGGATAGTATCTCCTGTCCAAGTTCCTGTACTTTAAAGGAAACTTGAATAATTACCTTCAGGCGAGGTAAGGCTCCGAATTATATTTATTGTTGTATATACATATATGGGAAATACAGTGTCCACCCTTCCTGCATTCCACTTTTCACAGAGTCTTCCCCTGCATATATTGTATAGCCCTTCTTATCAGATAGAAAACAGATCCCACCTAGAATGCTACACATGCCTGATGGCACAGTTACAATCTAGATATGTTTATCATTTGCGATAAACAACTTGAAATATATGAAGTTATGGATATAAGCATAAAATGGAGTCTACATAACCATCTTATAATATCATATATATGTGTGACGATCATAGTTATCCCTATACAATAGTAACAAACGTTTGCAGGGGGTTATATATTCCCCAAACAACACTGCTTTGTATACATACTCACAGCAACACTAAACTTTGGCACAGGGGCGGACTGACATCTCATGGGGCCCCCAGGCAATAGGGGATCATGGGGCCCCTGTGTCCTTGCCCAAACTCAAAAAAGCCTATGAAAAAGGTACCAGGGGCATCTCATGGGGACCCCTACTGACCCCGGGCCCACGGGCAGTGCCCGAGTTTCCAAATGGTCAGTCTGCCCCTGCTTTGGCAATATACAAGTAAATGTGGCAATACATAGGCTGTTCATATGGAATTTGGACATTATACAAGCAGTCTGCCCCTGCTCTGAAACATAAGAATATGAATTGGGAGAAGAATCAGGAGCTCCAAAAGACCCTTTAAAAATGGTTATATCAACTCGGTGAGACAATACAGTACATCCCTGTCTATTGGAGACAGACAACAGTCCCTTCAATGAGAGACTGGTTTCTAAGAGTGAATTGGGTAGCTGAAATGGAGGATCTAATAGCTATCTCTAAAGAGCTTATGACAAAATACTACAGTACCTGGGCTTGTTGGATGGACCTTGTGTCCATGGAGAAATACAAAACTGCACTGGCCTGTCACTGAGGGCAAGGATTGATTACACACTCTCTCTGAAGGACCACCATGATGAGAGGCTCTCAGGTCTGACTGGTTGACAGCAGATGGAATGGAACCTATACCGACTCTTAAAGCAGAGATGCCCCGCTTGCTCCATCCTTTCCTGAGCACACTCCCACCTCTATCCTTACCCCTTTCCCTTTCAACCCCCCCCCTTTTTTTTTCCTCTTTCTCTTTTCACTTCTTTCTTCTCCTTTCTTGCATCTTCCCTTCCTTACTCATTTCCTCCTTTCCTTTCTTGATCTACTCAACTGTTCAGTGGAAGACTATAATTTCTTCTTATACTCTACAGGTATTGGTACATTCTCAAACACCTCTCTTTTGTTGTTATGTGATTTCCCCTAGATTTGAACAATAAGCAAATTATCCTAATACCTGCTTTCTCTTTCTTCTTAATTGTTCTATATTGAAAATTTATACATGTCTCATTATGCTTTCTTGGTTGATGCTGATATTTGAAAACCCTTACTCAGGTTTGTTGGAGATTGTAAATGTTATCCATTTTTTCTTATGAAAAAACGATCACTCTGACATTTAATATGTGACGATGTTGTATGTTTGTTTATATTTACCATTGTTCTGTATCAGAGGACACCAAGAGGTCCTCTATTGTACATGTACTATGTTGTTGTTTCTATGAGAAAACCTTTATGAAACTAAAAAATGGTTATATCAAGTGCAAATTAGCACTTGGGATATATGAAAACTTATCATCGTCCCCAAAAGGAGGAACAGGAGTTGCAGTGTGGCCATCTTTGAATGAATAGGTGATCTTTCCCTTGTATATGTAAGCATATTGGAAAATAATTATTAAATACTAAACTATTGGAAGCTTTTCTTGTATGAGGTGAACTGATAACTCTGGAGAAGAGGAGAGTGGAGATTAGGTGCATTCTAGACCGATGGTCATAAGGGCTCTGGTGAGACTCCATTGCATGAGGGGACACCTGGTGCTGGAAGATTGTTGGTGTTTATTTGTGAGAGCGCTACATGTTTATGTGAGCAATATTAACTACTTGCCCTCAAGAGGAATTACCCCCTTTTCTGACCAGGCCATTTGTTGCGATACGGCACTGTGTTACTTTAACTGACAATTGCACGGTCATGCAACGCTGCACCCAAATGAAATTTACATCCTTTTTTCCCCACAAATAGAGATTTTGTTTGGTGGTATTTGATCATCTGTGCACTTTTTTATTTTTTGCACTATTAAAAAAAAAAAGGCTGACAATTTTGAGAGAAAACAATATTTTTAACTTTTTGGTATTAAACATGTTAAGTAAAAGAATGTTTTAAAAAAATCAAATTTTGTCATAAATTTGGGCCAAAATGTATTCTGCTACATGTCCTTGCTAAAATAAATACCAATATGAGTAAATTAATTGGTTTATGTGAAACTTACAGTGTTTACAAATGGTGGTATATATACTGAAATTAATTTTTTTTAATTTTTACTAGTAATGGTGGCGATCAGCAACTTATAGCGGGACTGCAGTGGGCATTCTGACAACTGGGGGGAACTGACTTGGTGTCACTGACATCCCCAGTGACACCAATACAGTGATCAGTGCTAATAAAAAGCACTGACACTAGGCTAATGACACTGGGCAGGAAAGGGTTTAACATGTGGGGTGATCAAAGGGTTAACTGGGTGCTGGGTGCTGTTTTACTAGGGCTGTGTTTGTGATCCACTGTAAGCACACTGCTTTGCATGGCCATGCAAAGCAGTGTGCACGAGCTGACAGGGAGAACTGTTTTGTTTACAAACAGTTCTCCCCCCCTGTCGGAGATGCTTACCAATCGAGGGCCAGTGATTGACAGCCATGTCAACGAATGGCAACGTGGGTAGGGCATGTGCCCCCTACCTGGAAATGCAAAATCACGAATATATACATGATTTTGCGCACCCTTGCCGCCCTGTAGCAGTCTATCTGCTATAGGGCGGCGAGCATGGGGTTAATAAAGTGTGGGGAGCATGGTTTTGGTTTGATAGCATCAAGCTATGATGGTTTTTGTTTTTATATGTCCATGAGGAATTATTGCACAGAAGGCATGACAAGCAGTGCAGGCAAGAGGAAAGGCACTGGATTGTTGTTGAGCACAAGTGTGATTTGACCCATTATACAAGAGGGCTCTATAGCCGTCCTCCCAGAACCGCGCCCCCCGGGCCATGCATCCGGTGCACCCCGTGAGCGCCCTGTCCTTTGGACACAGCTGATCACAGATTGTGGTAAAGGGCCAATCACAGCATCCCTTTACCATGTGATTAGCTGTGTCCAGTCACACCTGATCACACTGTAAACAGACTTACTGGTTATTGGCAGTCCTTTCCTTGCAAGCTGTCACAGCGTGAGGAGAGGAGAGCTGGTAACTGGCAATTCTGACAGGGGACACTTACAATGATTATCAGTGCAGCCCCATCAGTGCCCATCAATGCTGCCTATAAGTGCCCATCTATGCAGCCTCATCAGCGCAAATGAATGAAGGCAAAAAATTACTTATTTGCAAAATTTTGTAACAGAAACTAAGAAAAATGTTTTTATTTATATAGGTCTTTTTTCATTTGTATAGTAAAAAATAAAAAACCCAGTGGTGTTTAAATACCACCAAAAGAAAGCCATATCTGTCTCAAAAAATTTCATATGGGTACAATGTTGCATGACTGTGCAATTGTCATTCAAAGTGCAACAGCACTGAAAATTGGCCTTGGCAGGAATGGGGTGAAAGTGCCCAGTATTGAAGTGGTTAAAGTGCATTCACAATTTTGCAGCCAAATTTAGATAATACCTACTTTAAATGTTCTCATTCACATAGCTTAACTTAAAAAAGAATAATTTTGACTTGCCTCCTCTATATAAAAGCACAGGAGGAGAATTGTCCTTGAGAGTGTAATCTTTAGTGATAAGATTTGCTGGGCAGTACAGTGGCTAAATGGGTAGCACTTCCACCTGGCAGTACTAGGGTCGTTGGTTCAAATCCCAACCACAGCACCACCAGCCTAGAGTTTGCATGTTCTCCCTGTGCCTGTGTGGGTTTCCTCTGCGTACTCCGGTTTCCTCCCACTCTCCAAAAACATGCTGGTGGGTTAATTGAATCCTGTCTAAATTGGCCCTAGTATGAATGTAAGGTAGGGGCATTAGATTGTACAACCCTTGAGGGGTTTATTTATTAAGTACCTGTAATAAATAAGATTTCTTATCCATTGAGTGTTGGTGGACTTGGAAGCAGGGTCCTCTTGCAAGGTTCTGAGGACCAGACTAATAGGGAATCTGTCTTCTAGTGATGGGCTGAATGTTTGAACCTAAAGAACATTTGACTGCGAACGTTGAACTGAATGCAAGTCTATAGGACTCGAACTTGTAAATTCAAAAGTTCCCATTTTGAAGGCTTATATGCACTTTATTGGCCATAAAAAGGGTATGGGGACTTGGGTACTGACCTGAGGGACATATCGCCCCTCCTGCTTAGCCAGGCCTGTGCTCGGATCAAGGCTCTGGTAGGAATTTAGGGGGAACCCCATGCTTTTTTTTTCCCCCATTATTTGGGGGTGGGTTTACCCTTAAAAGTCCTACCAGGCCTAATGGGCCTGGTTTAGATTTAAGGGGGAACTCCATGTACTTCCCCCCCCCCCCATTTTTGGGAGGTGGGGTTCCCCTTAAAAGTCCTACCAGGCCTAAAGGGCCTTATATGGCTTTTATGTGGAATCCCATGCACTTTTGTTTTTTAGATTTGTTACTTTGGGGTCCCTCCTAACCTTCCTACCAGACCTAAAGGGCCTGGTAAGGATTGGGGGGGACCCATGCTGTTTCTTTTTTTTAAGGTACTTTTTTGTTTTATTTTATTTGTTTTTTTAATATTATTTTTTAAATTGTGTATTTTTTATTCTCCCCTCTATCTTTGGCAGTATCCAGCGACATACTGCATAAGGCTGCAGTGTAAGCAACCTTATATAGTGTGGGACGTGGACTTAGCCGTGAACCATGATTGGCCAGAGTTACCGTGACTGTGGCCAATCATGGCTCTCACAGTGCATTGTGCTGTGATTGGCCAAAGTGTTGCACCTGACCTGTGGTCAGGTACATTGCTTTGGCTAATCATGGCTCTAACAAGCAACTGTGAGAGTGCAGCGCATTGTGGAGTGCTCGGCGGGCGAACAGCCCGCCAAACGCCCTTACCGTCCGTGGCGTTTAGCAAAGACATAGACTTTTCTTAGTTCTGACTCTGTGTAGGCAATGAAGAGCTATTTCCTTTGGGTGCTTTGGATCTGGGTGTAAGGACAGTAGGACTATATCATCATTGAGGTAGAAGACCAATACCATCCTACAAAGAAAAGATGGTCATAGGCGCAAGAATACATTTTCATTGTGAAAAATGTGGAATGATAGCAAACAAAAAGGACAGTTTTGAGGAGAGGTCTGAGTCAATCTTACCCTCTAGGATGCTCATTTTATATCCAGTCATGTTACTGACCTATTGCAAATTAACCTAATTAGTTGAAAAATGTTCTTCCAGATCTTCCTTGTTAGTACCACTTACTTTGTTTTTTGTTGCCCTGTCACAACTTTTTTTGAGACATGTTGCTGCCATCAATTTCAAAGCTATTGAGCTCTGCAAAGCTTCTTCTCTAGAAGGGAAACCT